TACGATTTGGTCCATAAACTTTTATAAAATTTAAGTGCAGAAGCAAGTCTTAAAATAGGCGTCTTTTGCACCTATTGTTGTTTTGTCTTTCAAGGTACAATGTCAACAAAATAATGTAGTGTACTATATAAGCGCAATTCGCACGTGTGCATAATTACACACCATTGGCGTACGGGGTTTAGGAATTTTAGAGGCACGCGGCACGTGTCCAAAACCATTCAACCATCGTCGAGCGATTAGGCTGCGCACCCCGCTGAAAATGCACAGTGGGACAAAGAATGTTTTTAAACGAAAAAAAGTTCATTCTTGGAAAATAGCAGAATATGCATTAAAAAGGGATTACCGAATGAAACAATAGCTAAAATATAATGTTATACTCTTATTACAATGTATGGCCATTTTAATACAACTTTTTAACGTGGAATGACTCAAATTCCATAAGGTGTATCATCCATCCCTAAGGGATAACAACTTATTACATGACATCCTGTAGTTGCAAAGTAGCTTATTTCAAAATCATTGACTACATTAAGAATGATCCTGGGTTGAAGTATTTTTTTGATATCCCACTGTGCATCATATGACTTTACTTCACGAACACGCACAATGCGCATAATTGTGCGTGGGGCGGAACGAAACACCAGCACATAAATACACACACAAGCTGCTGGACATAACTGTGGATTTTCTATGGGGTATTTGAAAGGGTGCATTGCCCACAGTGATTCGGACTTGATTTTCGACATGTGTTCGACTGAATATGCATGTGGGTAGGCGAGGTGTGCAGTACCGAAGGGTGCAGATTGGTTATCAAGATCAAAAAATTATTTTGTAAGTACCTACAGGGTTTAGTGTTTGTTGCAATGATTGTAGGCAATGTTTTTTGAATGAAGGAAAGTTTTTGGACTTTGGAATCAGGACGTTTTGACTGGTGACTATCTCCAGTCGTCTTAAGGTAAAATAGAACTTATTCAGTATTCATCTAAAGACGACTGGAGATAAGTGGAAACGTCCAGAACCTTTCCAACAATATTTGCAATAGAAGTCATTCTGAAAAAGTCTTTTGAGGATTACTTTTTTCAGCATAGGTACATATTTTACTTTCATTTGAGTCCATTTTGAAACTAATATTTCTTCTTACCAAAAAATATACTTTTTAATAATCCATCCTAATGGATTTTAAATATAGGGAACCCATTTCTGCATATTTGATCATGATAAACCCTTTATGTTAATCGGATTTCTCAACAAAACCCATCAAGATTAAATATAATTTTTATGATGCTCTTCTCTTTGATGGAGCATTTCAAACCCACAACTACATTCGAAATACGTGGAACGTGCCCGTCATAATTTTAAACGCATTGTTTGTAGTTGCGCTCTCGCTTTTCACCCCGTGTGTGTTTCTAGTTATACTTGTTGGATTAGGGGTGGTTTGGACGCTTTGTCGTTTCACGTGTGCCTAGTGGAGCCCATTGTTGTTTTTCCCGATCTTTTGTTACGTGCATTTATAATGATAGTATTCGGGATTTCAAAGGAGAGACGACGAAAAAAGCGTTAGATTAAAATAGCACCCCCCTCATTTGCCTCGTTGGTAAACACTGAAAAAATACGGTTATGATAATTAGCCATACAGTAAAATCGGCATTAATTAAATGAAAAATGCAACAGTTACTTTACTTGGTTAGGATAGGGTGGAATATGATGATTTAGCAAACTTATTTACATAATAATAATTAAAAAATTACGAAGGAAGGGTGGTCCACAGTGGTTTTTGAAGTACATTTTCATAATAAAAAAATACTTAGTCATTCTTGGGAAGTATAACCGTTTTTTAACTACCAAACTACACATTATTTAATATTTAAGGTTATTTACGGTGAAATGAACTACTACCTGGTAAAATAAGCAATAACTGTTCTAGGTCTTGTTTAAAGAACTGTCAACTGCGATTTAAAAAATGTAGATTATGATACATGACATGAGCGTATTTTTGTGCTGGTCAAAAATATGTAATCTACAATGGATTGATTGATTTAAAAATGATTTTCACGATGGATATATCTATAGTTACAATAAGAATACAAATAAATGATTCAAGGGATGAGTCGAACTCAGATTCTTTTAATTTATACCCTTGATCATATACAACTTCTTTTAAACATAATGAGCTGGCCAGATAGCTTTTAAGTAAGCTAAAGGCCATAAGACAGTAGGTACTTCTGTATTCAATGTTTATGAGTAGTAGACTGGGCCAAAAAAATCAACTATTTTTTTTGAAAAGTATATCGAAAATATGGTTTAGGGTGACAAAAAAAAATATTGTGAAAGTTTGAGTCCATAATATTAATATTAAGAGGTCTATCATCGCAATTTTAATTTTTTTTCCTCAGCAAGTTTTTGTCTCAAAACTCCCAAACCATTGAGTTTAACAAAATTGACTTGAAAATATTTTTTTAAGAAAATTTAATGCTCTACAAAAAAGGTTAAAGTGAAATTTGCCGTCAGATGAACCGTTTCCTTAAAATCATGCCTTAAAAATTGGTATAGTTTTACTTTTTGATCTTTTAAATTGGAATTTTGTAATTCATATAAAAATCAGTACCCATAAAAAACCGATAAATATTCGTATGGGAAATCGTGATTTACAAAAAAAGCCTCTTAACATTTTTGGCTAAATTCACTCAATCAAAAGTTATTCAAGGTTAAAATTTCATTTTGACTTTAAATTTAACCTTGAATAACTTTTGATGGAGTGAATTTAGCCAAAAATGATAAAAGACTTTTTTTGGAGAGCATTTGATTTCCCATAAAAATATTTATCGGTTTTTTTTCAGGGTACTGATTTTTACATGAATTACAAAATTTCAAAGTTAAAAGATCAAATTGTAAAACTATACCAATTTTTAAGGCATGATTGTAAGAAAACGGTTCATCTGACGGGAAATTCCAATCAAACCGTTTTCGTAGAGCATTCAATTTTCTTCAAAAAATATTTTTAAGTCATTTTTGTTATAATCAATGATTTGGGAGGTATGAGACAAAAACTCGCTCAGGAAAAAAAATCAAAAATTGCGATGATAGACCTCTAATTAATATTACTATTATGGACTCAAACTTTCACCACAATTTTTTTGTCACCCCAAACAATATTTTCGATATAGTTTACAAAAAAAAAATCTAATGAGTAGTTTCAAATATGCGAGTAGTTCATTTCACCGCATGAAGTGTTAGTTCTATGATCATAGTGGTCTCTAGTTTTGCAGCGCCACCTGAATTTTGCATCAATTTTTTCTATTGAAGTTGAAAGACCGTGATCATAAGGTATTCAAAGTTTATCCTCTAGATTGCTCTTTAATTATTAATTTTATTAAAACATAAAATTACCTATAATAAATCTTTTATTAATTAAGTAAATATTAGTAAATAAATATATTTATACAATGAACTAATTATTTCGAAACATTAACGAATTAAAATTACCAAATTTGCAATAAAATCATCAATGTTTTCATAAATAAATAAAGGTAAATATCCAAATTTATAAATATTATGTTTTCTTATTGCAAAGGTTACTAACTTATTTTAAGTTTTAGGTATATAAACCGATGAATTACACATTTAACTTCAGTCCACCTAAAATGTTAAAACCAATATCACTAATTGTGACTGTGTATATTTCAATGTTATTAGTAAGTATTAGTAGTATACTTATACCATCTAGATTCTACACTCTAAAAATGAATTAGTCAAAAATGACTAGTTACTACAGTTATTAGTGGCTGATTTTTCATTTATACCATGGTTAACCATAGGACACCATGTTATCCCCAACATTTACTAGCCAAAAATTATGAAAGTGAAGCAGTTTTTGAGATATAGTCAATTCTATATTATATGAAAAATTGACTAACTATAACTCAAAAACTGTTCTACTTTTCTAACTTTTCACATTTTCGGATTTCAGGGGACAATTTTTCTTGCAAATTGACTGCTAAATGTTCGGGATACAAATTGCTAATAAAGGTAACTATTAGTGGATGCTTTTTCACTTATTTTTTTGATATTTAAGGTTCGTGGAGTGGCACCAGTGGTACCACCAGACATCCAAAAAATAAAAAACTCCATCTACGAAGAGTACACAACATTAAACAAAATCGAAGTCCTCCTCAAAAGTACGGTAAAAGACCACCTCCTCCAAGCTAAAACGGAGACCCACACCAAAATATCGCACTACAAGCGTTTCGTGGAGAACCTCAAATCCGGAGCCAACTTCAGAACTCAAGCCTGTATTAATCCGCTACTTATCGAGATGAGGAAGCTGTATTTCGTCAATTTCTACGAGTGCTCCATTAAGTTGGAGATTAGTAAGATAAGCCAGATCAAGTCCAAGTACTTGAAGTTGGAGGAGAATACATTGAAGAAATGCAAAAGTTACACCAGCAGCAAATTGTGTGAAGTTTATTTCAAGAGGGAAGTAAGGTACACACTTCGCACGCTGAGATTTGAAATAGAAAAAACAGCGAAAACTATAACGGTTACCATGAAAAGTTGCATCACCAAAGGAAAGCAGGATGTGGATAAATCATTGTATGATATTCTCAGTAAGGTGAAGGATTGCCAAAGGTGTCCTTTTGGATAGACTATATTATAATAACATTTCTAGACTAGTTTTTGTGATTATAATTAAAACTTTTTACTATAGTAAAAAGTTTTAATTAAGAGAAGGTGTACTTATTACCCTGTTAATTAATCATGTTTTTCATTTATTATTTCTACTTGGGAGGTAATCATTACTTGCTCCAACATACACTTTCAGTTGTGAAAAAACAATTAACAAAACTGCTGCTTCCCTTTTAAACGCCTTAATAACAGGGTTACTAGATTAAATGCAAGTTTTTATTTACATTTCTTTCCCACGTCAAGCGTTTCATTTTAGGTAACGGACAAGAAAGTATTTTTTGTTTAAAATAGTAAAATATTATTTAATTAGGTCATTTTTATAATATAACTTAAATATAAAAAAGTCTAGACAATCTTACTTATTAAGATAAGAGTAATCAAGACACATTATGGTTTTATTTATAAATGGATTTTGTACAATGTGGCGCAAAATAAGCGTTTCAAGACATACCTTATGTCCCCAAAAGTGTAATTGGTTATAATAAAAACACAGATTAATATGTATTTACTTTATTTACTTTATACTTTGACGAATTTATTATAAGCATGCTAAAGCCCTGCCAGGGATAGCATTGCTTTCAGCGGAAATACCTTGTTCTTCAGCTTGAATACAAGTTGCGGAATTAGCTTTAAGATCGTTAATCTTAGTCTCTAACTCTTTTGCTCTCTCGTTGAGAAGGCTGGTACTTGTGGTAAGGTTATTTGTAATGCAAGTTTCCATTCCAGCAGAGTCACTTTCCAGAGGATGTTGTTGCCTGCAAGATTCTCCTATGCTATTTACAGACGGCCTGAGAGCGAGAATATCATTCTTATTTTTGGTGAGTTCAGCAATGGTTTTAGTATCGTAGCAAGCCCTGATTTTATTGGTATTCAAGGCTTCAACAAGAATAACTTCGACGCTCAAACAGTTCCTAACATCTCTGCTACCAATGGCTTTTGGCTTTTTAAATTGTTGGTTGATCATAACCTTGATGTTGCTGATGTCTTGGTCCAAAGTTTCGGCAGAGTTTTCCACGTCGGATTTCAGCACTGTGGTGGTGTGGGTGAGGATCTGCGCGGCCAGTTTGGACTGCTTGAGGACTTCGTTTGACAATTCGTCGATCTTGATTTGGTTGGCTTTAATTATGTCTTCGTGGACCTTCTTTTTCAACGGAAAAATGGATCCGAGGGCCGGAACTAAGACCGACTTATCTGCCAGGGCAGCCTTAAATATACAGAATAGTTGATAATACAAATGCAGGTTTTCTGACAAGGAGTTTTACTTTAGTCTAAGCCTTAATGTTGTACATATTTTCAAAAACGGTTGTTATTTTAAATCATAAAGCTGAGGTAGACATGGTTGATAGTTTTTTCAAAAAATCAAAGTTTACTATGACACAAAAAAATAACTTAATAGTATATTCTGTAACAAATTTGGAATACAGTGAAACCTTCAAACTCGCCTTCGGCTCGTGTGACAAACTCTTCACTCGAGCGGAATATGCAATTCCAAACGTGTTTCAGACTATACTTTTTCAACGTTCCCAAAAAATACCATAGAAAAGTCATTTGATTGGAAGAAAGTGAGGTTGGATCGGCCTAAAATTTGTTAGATATTAAAAACAGAGATGTCGCCACGAGTGTTTATTCTGTCATAGGATGATAGAATATTTCATTCTGTAACACTTTACGGAATATATGTCATTCCATAGATAAAAGTGATATTAGAACGGTCAAATTCCGTAATAGGAGTAGAAAAAAATATTACTTACCCCACAAAATGCAACCAACAGTACAACAATAAACTTATTCATGTTGGAAGTATTATCAGTTACTAAAAAATGTTGCTTGAATTTCATATTTATACACAAATTTGGAAAAATATTTAACAGTAAAAGGATTAACAATAAACTTAAAACAATAAAATTATTTGTAATATTAATTGTTATAGTTTAAGATTTATACTTGTTTAATACAAAACAAATAATTCACAGAAAACCGAATAACTTTATAGCAAACAATTTAAAAAAGGTTTAATATTATTTGATCAAAAAATTATCAAAAAATGTAATCTTATTTTGTTTTTTTTTATTTAAATACACATTATAATCCTTAATGTCATATTAATAATAACCTGCCTATAAAGACATTAACCAAAATTTGATTTTAAATGATATATTTAAATAACCAAGTCATACAATTAAGGGTAATGAATAATTTTACACAATTTATGGAAATATTCATCACAGGTAAAAACTACTGCTTTAAAAAGACCCTAGGTTAATTTCTACACACCTAACGCGTTTTTTCTTAGATCTAATGTTTTCAAAAAATCCAGGTTCATTTCTTATGTACTCACAAGCATTTACAACCCGCGGCATAAATTCCTCAACGTTTTTAAGTCGAGTGGATTTAAATCTGGAGAGCGAGGAGGACACCGAATAGGCTCTTCTTGTTCTATCCTTACTTTCGCAGAAAAATCATAAATAAAAAACATCGATAATCTTAAATGGCAGGGCACATCATCAAGTAGGTTTAGGAAAACGTTTTGGAGAAAATAGAAGTGTGTTTCACTTTTTAGTCGATTTGGTAAGACGTAAGGACCTATCAAGAAATCGCCAATTATTCCTGCCCAAACGTTGATAAAAAATCTTTGCTAGTGCCTTGATTCAATAAAGGCATGCAGATTTTCATTAGCCCATGCATGACTATTATATAAATTAATAACTCTCTGTAAAGGATAGGGATAGCAGTTGTTCGTGACCTCTACTTCAATTGTTCAATTTCTCCCGCAATCACCTTTGTTTAGAATCAACCGAAATATATTGACGTTATTTCTAGAGACCCTGTATAAAAATAATTATTTATATAATATTATCGTCAGTCATCCCTTTCAATATACTCAAGTACCTACACAAAGGAAAAAATTAATCAAGAAAACAATTTTTGATAATATCACATATCATATTTTTTAAATGATGATTATCTTAATATATTATAAATATAAGTATTTGAAAAGTAATATTGATTTTATTAGTGAGAGTAATCCATTAGGCATAGCAAATTTAATTATGTGGAAATTAACAATTGTTCTGTGCTTAACTATATTTTTGGGCCTACAGGTAAAATATAATGATTTTTTACTTAATAACAAAAGTCATTCCACTGAAAAAGATCTTGATATAAAAATTGAGGAAGATCTTTTAGGTATAAAATACAAATCAGATACCTGAAATTTTGCCATTTTCATACCATTTTTGTTTTTGATAATTTAATTTGATTTTAATGACAAGTAAGGGTGCTTTTATTATTTATTAATTTTGAAGAGCTGATTTAAAAATAATAATAACCTATATTATAGAATACCAAAACAATGTTTTAAGTTCTTAAACTAAGAAATTTACAGAATTACCATAGAATATTTTATTTTGCTTTACATATATTTTTAAATTTTAGGTGGAAGCATTTGTATCGCCAGCATGTCGGAAAGTTATGAAGGAATACACCCCGAAGATAGTGTCAAAAAAGAATAAACTATCCGAAGTAATCAAAGAAGAAACTAAAAAAATTCAGGAGCCCAAAGAAGTAATAGCCTCCATAGCCGATGAGGCTCAAAGTTCGGTGAACGACCAAAGCAAAAGTTTAAAAAACTTGATCAACGATTCGAAGAAAAAAGCTAGAAAACAATGGAAAAACATCAACAAATGCTTGAGGGAAGAAAAAAGCAACATTAAAAAAGTTAACTTAAGAGCTGTGGATGACTGCAGAATCACTTGGTTTGACGAAGTTACCATAAAAACCGAATTAAAAAAACTTGAAAAAGAAAAACAAAGTATTTTTAAGGACCAGAAGTTGTGTTTAATGAAAAATCCTCGATCTACTTCTTCACTTAAGGCTTGTTTGGATAAATTACTCAAAAATACTGATAGTGATATAAGCGAAGTAGTAAAAGCTACAGAAAATCGTTTGGATGTTAAGACCCAACAAGCAACAGCATGCATTGGAAAAATGTTAGGTCATCTGGACTTGGCCATTGGGGATGTTCGTAACAAATTTCAAATCTGTGTTGATAAAATATTGAAATAAATTATTCTAAATTAAGTAAGGGCTTTATTTCTTTTGTGATGTTAGCTGGCCACCAAGGTTCTGCGATTTAATGCACCTGGACATTTTTATGTTAATAACTGTAGATTTAAAGAACATAAGTTAAACCTTGAACGTAACTTAGTAAAGTATTCGAGTCAACTTCATCATGGATTATTTTGTTTAGGCCAAGGATTCACTTTTTCTTTTTCATTGTGCTTAAGTCAAATTTTGAAAGTAATAGATTTTGATCAGAAACATATTTAAACTAAAGTCAATTTGTAATGAAACTTAAGGGCTGACAAAATACAACCAGGGGTCTTTTATCTTGAAACATATTTCATTAATATTCTTCATTAAAGGTAAAGGTACAATACTTAACATATTTAATTGTTATTGCAAATAAGAGCAGTCTTCTATTGTTGTATTGCGATAAAAAAATTTAGATCGTCAGCTGACCGCAACTGATAAGTGCTTAAAGTATTTGAATAAAATGTGCAAGGTACCTACAAACTTGATTTATTCTGATCAAAGTATACATTTTTAATTATAATTATAATTAAGTGAGCAAAGATAAATCAATTTTGTATTCAATGATTAAAAATGATAAAAATTTATTATAAGTACCGAACAACTCAATCATTTTAGACATTGCAAAACTCGTCACCATGAAGGGTATTTTTGTTTTAACCCTTGCCATTGTGTTGGCTTCTCAGGTATGAATAATAATATTCTTGTCTTTTAAATTAAATAATTTCAAAAATTTAGGCTGATGCGATTTCACCGGCATGTCTAGCAACTATGAGATGGTATGGCCCAATATTCCTCAAAGAACAGAATAAAATAAGCAGTACCATCACCAAAGAAACCAAAAAAATTTCTGATGGCAAGGTCCTCATCGACTCTATAGCTGATGAAGCTCAGAGTTCCGTAGACAACCAAACCAAACTTTTAAAGGATTTGATAGCTGATAATATTGCAAAGGCAAGAAAACATCACAAGAACATCGACAAATGTTTAAATGCGGAGAAGAAGAACATCAAAAAACTCAACTTGAAGGGTATAGATAAGTGCAGACTTAGTGCACAAACCATAACCAAAATAAAAAAGGGTTTAATTGAACTGGGAAATTATAAAGTCGATTTAATTGTCCAACAAAGAGCTTGTCTTAGATGGAATCCAATTTTCCCAATACCTCTAAGGATTTGTTTGGATGGTTTACTTAATGGAGTAGAGCCCAAAATCAGCTCTATTGTTAAAACCACCAAGGGTAACTTGAATGGTACTGTCAAGAAGGCCAAAGCTTGTATAGGAGAAAAACTGGGAAATCTGGATTTGGATGTGGAAGAAGTTCGAGAGGAATTCTTAGATTGTATACATAAAGTTTATGATTAAAATATGGTTGTGTTAAAACGAGTTTTATTTTACACGTGTAGGTAACTTTAAATTTAAGTAAATAGGGGTCAGCTTATCGAAGAGTGCTGGGTACAAAGATTTATATTTTTCTATAAAATATAAACCCAAGGTAAGTTTTTTGACACACCTAGGCATTCATGGAGAATTACATAACTGATGACATGTCTACTGATGGTCAGTGTAAAGAATTTCATTGTATAGGTTTAACAATAAAAAAGCTTTTTGACCGTTTTAGCAGGGCGGTACTAAAAATATTTACTTTTGGTTTTTGACAACATTTTTGTAAATCTTTAAATATTTTTTATGATGATTTAAAGTAACTCCTCAGTAAATAAAAAAAACGTGTGTACAAAAATATTAAATTATAATCGCACAACAAGGTACTTGATGTTAATTATTTGCACTATGAGCTGATAAAAAGATAAATGTTTCTAGGAAAATAAGATTTACGCATTAAATCACAGCTAAGTGGTACTTGACAATACAATTGATTTAATAAATTAATAAATAAAATAAAATGTAATAACATAAATCTATATCGAGAAAGTTAAAAAATGGTTTTCGCACAGTGGAGCAATCGATTTGTGTATAGCGGTTTACGAATTTCTGTAGAGACAAGTACCTCAAAAACCATGACTAGGCCCCAACAGCATATTATCGAATTATCTAGTTTTTCACAAGATTTGTTAACATGAGTTTGTAGTGTGTTAATTTTATTTTGTAAAATTTTAACATAATTTAAACCAGGGTTTGTAATTATTTTAACAACGAGTGTGCGAAGTATCGGAAAAAGATGCCATCACTGGTTTTCAAACTGAACGAGAAGTGGGTTAAACTTACGAAATACATCAGTAAGTGTTGTATTAGTACTGATAATTATGTTGTACCAAATTACTTTATAATCTGTAGGTATGTATTACTTTATAATTTGTAGGTATGCAACATTACTTATCTATCTTATCTAAATTATTTTTCCCAAAAGGGTTCCCAAAAGGTTAGTAAAAATAAGGTGTTTGTAAAAATTACAAGAATTATGGTTAATTTAATGATAGGATTTTCTTATTAAATCTTCAAAATGTTTGTAAGGGGCCATTCATTAATTACGTAAGGGTATTGAGGGGGAGGGGGGATTAAGAAAATCTCTACATGTCCTTATGTTGGGAAAGAGATCGTGAAATTCATTCTTACGTAATATTTCGTGAATCAAAATTGAATATTAAAAATCTATTTCCATTTTGGATTCCAAATAGTTTTCTTCATTTTAATGTGAATATTACGTAAGAAAGGGGAGGGGGGTTCGAGAAATCTTACCTAATACCTAATTACAAACTACCTATTCAATTAGTTAAGAGATTACAGTTGTAAAATTAACATAATGTTTTGTGGACCTGAATTAACATAAAATCTGGTTAATATTTGGTTAAATTTAAATTGTAGAAAACAAGATGTACGTCCCTGTCTTTCTATTAGGCCAATATTTCATACACCCAAACTAACTTTTTCAATTCTATTGTGCAATATATCCTGACCACAATTTTAGTAAATATTTCACTTTTCTATAACGTCCATCCAAAGATCATAGATTGCCGAGGGACGGGCAAAGAAGCGTGCTTGATATACGAGCGTATCGGTCGTTACCATGGTACCAAACTTGTCATCATCTAGATATGTGAGTTTCTTGAATGGATTTCGCATTTCTTTTCTGAAGAAACATAATAGCGATTGTTTGCAAGCTCTTTGATCGTTTATTTTTTCTATATCGAGCGGGAAATTGGGCACTATTGTCTGCGTTCAGGTGCATTTTTAGCGTGCGACCAAATGTACATAAAATCAACAAAATAAATTTTTCGCACTGTTTAAAATATCTGTGGTGTAAAGAGTAATCTTAAAATGGTGTCACAATCCAACACCAAGTGGTGTTAATATAAACACCATGAATTATGGTTGAAAATTTATATACAGCAAACACCAAAACGGTGTTTATCTAAAAATATTTGAGAAGTGCACCTACACAGAAAAAAAGGAATAGTTCATTTAATTTAGTATTTATTTAAATCAACTGTGGGAAGGTTAATATAAACAAAGATTAGTTTGACGGTACTAAACCAGATAGTTATTTTATTTTTTTTAAATTGATTTAATTAACCCAAAAAACTTTAGTAAAACCAACCCTCTGTATGGTTCAGTTTACTAAATATGTTGTTTGTAAAATAAGAGATACTTCAACCTAAAGCACTCTGTTAAAACGATTAAAACAATTTGCCGTGCATTCCTGGTTGCATAGTGTGTACCGATCGCGGCAAAGGCGGTGTGGATAACGTGATGTTCTTAAATCTCGCCTCTGTTGACTTACATGAAGAGTATATAAGCTTAGGTAGTCCTTTGCTTTGGTGTGACACTACAAGTTGTTCGATACTAAAGAGACCTTAAATAGGTGGAAACAGCTGTCAATACTTGAAGTATTTTAAGTTGTTGGAACGCACTAAAAACATTACCTCTAGCGAGTTGAAGGTTCAATTTTCTGGAATAATACCACTGGTAATATACTACTTCCTGTTTTTTTTTTTTCCTTTTTTCTGTGTGGTATGATTTAATTTGACCACAAACACATAATATTTAACACTGAAAAGGAGTTTACAGAGTTGCGAGATTTGTACTTAAAAAGTATTGCCATTAGAATATTTAAGTTACTTGAGAATGGAGAAAATAAAAATTATCAACACATTGTATTTTTTACTCTAAATTGATTTAAAGTAAAAATACAAAAATAATTGTACTTATTAATTTGAATAAATAATATTTTTTAGTACTTCGTAATGCAAAAAGTTTAAAGTCAAAGTAAAAAATTGATTGTACTTAAAATATAAATGAAAATACAAGTACCAAGAAAACATCTTCCTTCAAGTCATTGTATATTGTAAATAATTTTAATCAGAATCTAAAACTATCTTTATGCATAGGTATATTTAATATAATTGATAAACCTTTTTACAAATATTTTAATTATTGACATGTAAGTATTTAATATTTGTTATCAACCATTGTATTGTTACTTTAAACTATTAATTTTATCATTATCATGTTAACATAACCTTATAATAATTTTACATATTTTTGTAGTTTGCCTGAAGATATAGATCGAAACTAGTCGCAATAAAAACATAAACAAGCACGGAAGTATCCTTATTCACCATTCTAATCAAATAAAAAAAATATATAATGTATTCTGTTCTTTATTATTTTTTAATTATAAAATAAAAAAATATTTAGAATCAGTAAACATTTTAAGTTAAAATAAAAAGTACTTGATATTTTCTCTGATTATAATTAAAAAATAAAAAAAAAATTGTAATTATCAAATTGGTAAAGTAAAAATAAAAAGTACTCAATATTTTTCTCTCATTACAATTATAAAATTAAGTAGTAATTAGTAATGATAGCATAATCCATTAAAAAAAATACTCAGTACTCCCAACTCTGGTTTACACTAGGTAAAATTTATTTTAATACTGTGTGAAAGTTAAATTTACACTATTTTAGTGAACTCATCAATATCAATAGCTACCTTTAAAGGTAAATTCAAACGTAAAAATAAAGTAGGTTATTACAGAAACGTTGGGAAACAATAAGGCAACTTAATTAAAAACATTTCATTTGCAAATCTGCTGACTTCAAAGTCCCCGGATTACGTGCGACTAATTTATTGCGATACAATTGTTTACCATAGTAGCGCTTATTCGGCTTCGTTATTTTCAACATTAATTATCGGACTGTTTGAGAGCATCTACGTATTTATATTCGCCGTCAAAATGCGAACTTAATCAGCAACGAGGGCCCAAACCGCAACACAGCTTAATTTAAACCGACTCGTAAATTTGATTCTCCAAAGTTCATGTAAACTTGAGAGTACAATTCAATAAATAAACCCAGTTAAGGCCTCACACGTTCTTTTACTCGGCTACACAAGAAGCTTGAAGGTTGAAACTAGCAACTTAATTATAAGTGTATGGGTTTATTCTTATTTTGTAATTTTTACTTAGTTTTTATTCTTTATTTTTTTAATTTTTTTGTTCCATTTTATTTAAATATCTAGGAACATTTTGTAGATAATAACGTTTTCCTCTAAAGTGCCCTACACTCAAATAAGTTACTTGGACCATTTAATAGCTACATTACTTAATAGTATACCGGGTAAGTATCAAGAACAGTAGTAAGCAGTTTGTTTTCCAATTACGCGCATTTTGATATATCGTATAATTTATATATTTCTTTCTCGGATTCCTCATCCCTTTTCTGGATTCTGAAGATAACTGGTCTGACTTCTGAAATAGTTTGTTGCAAATATCATAAAGTGTGGTATCTCTGGTTTGTGAAGCATTTATAATGTTTAGGCCGTAACAGGATGATTTATATATATCTAATATTTTTTCGGGTGGTATGTTAAAAGTGTTTTCCGAATTTATTAATTTTGTTGCCATTAGTTTTTTATGTTCTCTATCATGCACTGTATTTAAATCACTGTTATTCTGCAAGATGTCCTGTGACGAAGAAATCACTATATTACTTCCTCTCTAAAAATGAATTAGTCAAAATTGTCTTAGCGAAAAAGCAGCCTCTAATAATTCTCTTCAACAGCAATTTGTATCCAGGACATTTAGCAGTCAATTCCTATGAAATATTATTCGCTGTCAAAAGTTATAAAAGTAGAACAGTTTTTGAAATATAATCAATTTTACATATAATATGGAATTGACTATATCTCAAAAACTGCTTAACTTTTATAGGTTTTGACGGTCTTTTCGGATTCAGGGGACAATTTTACATAAGAATTGGCTGGTAAATGTCCGGGATACAAATAGAGTATGATATTGGACATATGTCCAATAATAGAAATTTACATTTTTTACCAACCAGTAATTGGACACTGACCATTTTACTGTTTGTTTTCAGAATTAAAATTCAAAAGTAACAATGTTTAAACCATGAGGAACACATTT